AGAGCTTCATCTTCGCGTAAATGTAAAAAACTAGAAGGAAACTGAATCTCGCTGAGAGCAACTTCCCATTTTCCCTGCAAATCTATACGGCGAGGTAATTCCGTGGTAAAACACGAAGTGGTGTTGTGCGGGAAGTAAAGCATACTGCTATTGCTCCGAAAAACTACGAAAAAGTGTTCCTCCATTGTTATCATTATTGTCGCCATCATTGTCGTCGCCTTGTGCAAGCGTTGTTAAACTCGAAGCCGGAATCCACGAGTCGAATTTAGACGGATAACCTTGTCAACTGATTAGCAGTTGCCTATTACGTCCCCGACCTTTGCTCTTTATCACCCGATCAACGATGAAAGTTTCTTTTTGTAGGTTTCTAACAACAGGAGCCAGTTCTTGCTCGTAGAAAATTTTGTCTATAACCTCATCCGCTAAATCACTCAGCTCGTAAACGCGCGGATTTCGCCACTCGAGAACACGATGAATTCGAAATATCTCTTTGCTCCACTTGGCCTCGTATCCCTTCTCAAAGGCGGCTTTCGCTTTACTGACACGTACGAGATCGCCGACGTAGTATTTAGCTGCTTTTGCTCGCTGTTTGTTCCAACGATGCCACGTGTTTTTGCGCGCAATATTCGCGTTTTCCACCGTAACATCCGCGGGTTTCATGCGTATGGAAAAGTGCGGCGTATGGTTGTACGCGTGCACAATATCCTGCAAGACATCGAGGTAACGTTTCGTGTTTTTGTGCGTGAAGTAGCGCCACATGCGCTCTTTTAGCGTTCTATTGAAACGCTCGATCACAGCTGCTTTAAAGTCGGGATTACGTGCCACGCGGAAACGAATTCCTTCTTCCTTGAGAAATTTTTGCAGCGAATGCGCGATAAATTCTTTACCTTTGTCGGTTTGCAGATATACGGGTCTTCGTCCGCTTCTCGAGAGCACGCGTTGAAACGCACGAAGGACTTGAGCACTTGTTTTGTCTCGCAACAGTTCCACCCACACGAATTTGCTGAGCACGTCCATAACTGTCAGTAGATAGCAATATCCGTCGTTATAGCTTTGCAAATTTCGCAATTCTATCAAAGCAGCCTCCCAGAGATCGTCGATATTCGTCACGTTGTAATGCAGTCGGGGAAACTTTCGCCGCACGGGACGATGTAACGTGTAAGCATCTTGCGAACAAAGCCAGCGAACAACGTCCTCGCGCTAGTAATTCGGTTTAGCGGCTCGCGACAAATTTCCCGTCGACGAGTAACCGGCGTAATGCGCGGGATTATAATACAACTGGTCAAGCGTTTCGTTTACATTTCGTTCCACGTGAGCAGCCGTCTCGGAATCCCGATTCGTATCTTTTTCTTGTTCTTGTCGGTGGCGCGGTAATCTCATCCTTCTTCTTCTTCTTCGGCTTCTTCTTCTTGTTCAATGCTATGCGGAGATTTGCGCTTTGTACTTTTTCCTCCTTTTCGCAAAAAGCGTAAATATTTAGGATTTCTCACGTATTGAGGAGGCGTGTTAATGTCGCAAAGTAAATAAGCGAAATGAATGGCCTCCATTATTCCAGCGGTTTTTCTTTCTCGCATCACATTGTTTACGAGTTCCACAATATTCGCTCCCACTAATTCTGGACTCTTGGTCACGATGCCGCGTTCGTTCCATGTGATCTTGACGGGAACAGCCGTTTTGATTAGATGATTCAAAAGCATTCGCGCTTTGGGACGGTAAGTTTTTGGAATTGTTTCTATTATGTTTGTTATAGTTTTTTGTTTGCGAGAGCTCGTTGCGCTGCTGTTGTTAAATAAAATATCTGCAAACGATACAGTTTTTTTCGGAGTTGACTGATTAATTCGTTGATATTGATTATTATTATTGTGTCGCAAAGGCGTTGAATAATGTTTTGGTAAAACAGAGGATGTTTGAGGCAAAGCGTCCATTGGTTCTTCCGCGTCGTGAAATAGTTCTCTCATTTCTTCGTCCTCCTCCTCCTCTTCCCTCTCTCCACTAGTCACAGCAGTTATTTCCGCCACGGATGGATCTTCTTCTTTGCAAAAACGCTTTCTCGCTTTTCGGATAAAATATAGATATCGACAAAGTACTTCGCTGTACAATTTNCATTTTTCACCTTCATCAACAAGGGAATCGAGAATACGTCTCATCTCCGCGTCGAGACGCAAGAGCACGGTTCCGGGAGTGCGTATGGTATTAGCAGCGGTATTTTCCCCCGTCATTCGTTGTTGCATTCTTTCGAGATTATCCGCGGAAATCAGCACCATTTTTTTAGCCCGTTCCATGATTACTCGATAATTCGAGATAATAAAGCTGCAAGTATGGGCCCGATGATCTACGGTAAAAAGCCTTGTTGCACCTTTCTTAGCAGCTTTCTCTTGCACTTTCAAGTATCTTTTTGTTCCGCGATACGTCGCAGCGCCGTTTTGTATCGGATTAAGCGTTCTTTTCTCTTTTTTCGAGCGGTACGTTACCTCTGAGCGTATTGTGGACGCACTCGCAAATACACGCGATGAATTTGGTATCAGCGTTTTGCAAAAAAGCAGCGCGTTTTTTATTTAGAAGACACAGAGCNTTCAGTAGACAAATGTTTTTCTCACCGAGAGAGCGCTTAGCCCTAATATGCGCCTTTTGTTGCTTTTTCCGCTTCGTCGCCGACAGCATCGTAGCTTCGAATGACGCCTTTTGCTCGTGTGCTTCGGGTTTTTATACACTTGTTTTTGCGGTAGATCTGCAGATCGTTGGGAAAGATACACGTTTGAAAACGATATTCGTCCGGTGTTGATTGTTTCAAATCGAGCAGTAAATAACCGTGAGGACGCGAAGTGGCGTCGTAGTACGCTTCTTCCAAAAATTTTGCGTCGTCGGGATAGACTTGACACGCAAGATGGCAAATTTGCGCGCGATCGCGCGGATTCTTGAAAACCACAATGTAATTTCAGCGAAATATCGCGTTGACTGCGTCCCTGATAAAAGAGATTCTGTGAAATAAGTATAACTAAGATTTTTATGGTGGCTATTCTTGGTAAACGAATCCACGATCATTTCGCACGACGATGATTCTCGCATAAGATCGTCGATTACACAGCCACACAAAAAAAAAATGTTCTGGCCTGTGGGTCAAACTATGTTTACTATATGTTTTTGGGGTCGCTGAAACCGAATCCGAAGTCCATTTAACCCTATCACATCAGGTTTTGGACATAACCTTAAAAAACCTATAATTCAAGCCCAATTAGCTAGTTATACCAAATATATTAAACCAATTAACTCTATAACCCCTTAATTCTTAAACCCCATAACCCCTTAACCTTAAATTCCAATAGCATTATAACTCTCATAGCATAACCTATCATGGCCCAGGATTTCTACAAGACTCATCTCGCACAAGATCAGTCATTTTCGACTTGAAGACCAGTGTATTAAACTATTTTGTATCATCCCAACAAAATAAATGATCTACACAGCGAGGATATTTCCACACATGTTGTTGTTTATTTTCCCGAGCTACCTCTATATCCAGAGTAGTGTCTCATCTGTGTCTGCATCCAGGGCACCTCCACGCGGTGACGGCGGGCAACGGAGCAATTTCGTTATCCGGCTGAGTCCCTGGATCACGGCGTATTTGATGGACCACAAATCAGAACTATGTTTAGAGATACTACTTTTGTTAGTACAATAAATCAATTGGAAAAAGAAGCCTGGCTTAGTTTCAAAGCAGTGGCCCAGAACTTTTTGGGAAATACAAAAAGTCCTGAATATAAACAAATCGTTGCAAAAATGATTACAGACTTTCAAACGCTTGGATGTCTAATGAATTTAAAATTACATTTTTTGCACTCGCACCTTAAAAAATTTCCTGACAATCTTGGAGACTTTAGCAAAGAGCAGGGCGAACGATTTCACCAGGATATCAATATGATGGAAACTCGTTACCAAGGAAGATGAGACAAAAATATGATTGCAGATTTCTGCTGGATGCTAAAGAGAGATACACAGAAAGATGCTAGAAAGCGCAAACGGAACGCATTGCACAGATTTTTCGATAAAAAAAAAACCTGTTATAGTTCGAAAAAAGAGAATGACTAAAATTTTATATATCTGTTATTTGTTATTTGTTATTTATTTATTTATTTATTCATCAGGTTACCTTTAAAATAGCTCTTATAAAGGCTATATATGATATACAAAATCCGTTCGTGCAACCTCCTCGTGGCGTACATTGGGTAACGCTAATGCCGACGGTTCCACATTTGTTTTCTAAGCATACGATATAAGGTTATGGGTTTACGAGATTATAGGGTTATTGGAATTTGAAGTCAAGAAATTAACGGGTTAAGAGGTTCAGAGTTATGGAGTTGAGGGGTTATAGAGTTAATTGGTTTAATATATTTGGTATAACTGGCTAATTGGGCTTGAATTATAGGTTTTTTGAGGTTATGTCCAAAACCTGATGTGATAGGATTAAATGGACTTCGGATTCGGATTCAGCGACTCCAAAAACATATAGTAAACATGGTCTGACCCCTAGGCCAGAACTTTTTTTTGTGTGTGGCTGTGTTATTATTAATTTTGCACAGAGCGGGTCGTTCGAATAATCTTCCCAGCGCAGTAGTCCTTTGCGAAACTCGATTTTACATTTTCCCGTCATCTCGCGTTGCAACTCGCCGTAATAAAATAAAATTCTCCCAAATCGAACAGTCATCTTTTCCAGCAAATAACGGAGAAAAGTCTTTACAAAAATTGTTTTCCCGCATCCCGTAGGACTGCAAACAATCGACGTCCAGGGATGTTTCAGCGCACGTCCATTTCGAAGCAGGGACTTATTACCGGTATGATTTCAATACCGGTATTATACTAGAGTTTGTATACCAAAACCAATATAGTACCGAAATTGAGTGTTACCGTTACCGTTATAGTACCAAAACCGATATATTACCGAAAACCGTAATAAAATACCGGTATTATTTTGGTATCTTCCTACTAATGGTATTCTTAAAAATTATATAGATAGATTAATTAAAGCAATTTTTGTTGCATAATTAATCTTNCTACCGCTTATTGGACTTATAGACCGACAAAATATAAAGACGCTTTTTTTATAAACTAATTGAAGCAGCTATTTCTTTATGCTTTTTTTTATTACGTAGCATGACTAATGTAAATTCATGCGGATGAGTCAAAGATACATGTGCCAATAGATTTGTAGCATGATTTCCCTAAAGATATATTTTATTTAAAAAATAATCGACGTCTAGTATATATAAATATATTTAAAACTACTTACAGTAACTTTATGTCTACAATCATTAATTAAACATAATGAGTTGTTGCACGATGAATCATATACTGAAAATACTCGTGTACAAAATTTACTTTTCTCCGGCTTATTTTTTCGTCGTATTGGACAAATTTATATATAAATTGTAAAAATCGTCTTCTGTTAGTTTCTTATTATAATATCAATCGCTTAATGTGCTCGATTGTCTACTGATGTGTTTACACAATCGTGTACTGTGTACAGTGATGTATCTTCATAAACACAGTTCAAGTATCGGCAGCAAAGGACGAGCGTCAAACATGTATCTTATTGCTTTAACTGTGTTTATGCTAGAGCAATAATAAATAAATAAAAGTTCGATGCTTCGACGATGAGAAGACACATCACTGTACACAGTACACGTCATCGTCGTGTAGACACATCAGTAGACAATCGAGCACAGTGATTCATATTATATTAAGAAACTAACACAGAAGACGATTTTTACAATTTATATATAAATTTATTCAGTACGACGAAAAAATGGGCCGGAGAAAAGCAAATTTTGTACACGAGTATTTCCAGTACAATTCATCGTGCAACAAATCATTATGTTTAATTAATGATTATAGACATGAAATTACTGTAAGTAGTTTTAAATGTATTTATATATACTAGACGTTGATTATTTTTTAAATAAAATATATCTTTAAGAAAATCATGCTACAAATCTATTGGCACATGTGTCTTCGATTCATCCGCATGAATTTACATTAGTCATGCTACGTAATAAAAGAAAGCATGAAGAAATGGCTGCTTCAACACGTAGAAATAACACTAAGCCATGAAGGACAAAGTTTTAAATGAATGCGTAGATTTAGTTATTATTCACGGTCGACCATTGAATCTAATTAATGATATTGCGTATCAAAATCTCATTCATATGATACCGTCCGTGGCGACTTCAATTATTTCTTCACAAGAAGTAAGAAATGCCGTTGTAATGAAAGCATAATGCTTTCGGGAAGAGGTAGCGAAGAAACTAAAAAATAAATTAGTATCATTGAAAATTGACGACGCGACCTGTATGGATCGCTCTTTTATAGGAATAAATGTGCAATACATAGAAAAACACAAGTTGTCTTACACACTCTAGCAGTGCAAGAAATTTACGATTGACATACAGCTGCAAACTTAAAAGATATATTAAAAAATGTACTTTTAAGATACGGAATATCTGTGAGGCAGATTTATTCTATAACGACGGACAACGGATCTAATATGATTAAACTTGTTGAACTTCTTGGGGAGGATCAAGAAAAATTAGAATATAATGAAGAAAATCATATTGAAGAGCTAGAACTTTCATTGTCAAATGAAGAACTCATTTTGGACAATAAAGAAAATAAAGAAAATATAGAAGAAGTAAGATATCAGGTCAGATCAGTGCAGTGTGCAGCTCATACACTGCAATTAGCAGTATCGGACACACTAAGAAATAGTACAATTTTGGCAATTATATCCGAAGCAAGAAACGTCTGCAAAAAATTACGGTCGCCGGTTGTTAAAAGCTTACTGAAAGCAATAAATTAAAAAAAAACCGATCCTGGATTGTCCAACGCGGTGGCACTCAACGCTAGATATGCTCGAGCGTCTTTTAAAATTAAAAAAATGTTGTGATGGTAACAATAAGGATCAATATTTATTTCCTGAAAAATGGGCCAAAATTAAAAACATTGTGCGTTCTTTAACGCCAGCTCGTATTGCAACCAAGAAGTTGCAAGAAGAACAACTTCTTATCGGAGATTTTTATCGCACGTGATCACAATGTATGCTAGAAACTACGAAATTAAAAACAATATTAGGAAACAAATTAATTGAACATATGAAAATACGAGAAAAA